AGAGGGCAAAGCGCACATTGTCGTCAAGCACCGAAGCTACCATCGAGATCGACGCGTTGTTTGAGGGCCATGACTTCTACACAAGGGTTAGCCGAGCGCGCTTCGAGGAGTTGTGCGCCGACCTGTTCCGCGGCACACTGCAGCCTGTGGAGAAGGCTCTGAATGATGCCAAGATGGACAAGAGCCAGATTCACGACATCGTCTTGGTTGGCGGCTCGACACGTATTCCGAAGGTGCAGAGCCTGCTGCAGAACTTCTTCTCAGGAAAGAGCCTCAACCTGTCTATCAATCCGGACGAGGCGGTGGCCTACGGAGCCGCCATTCAAGCTGCCATTCTTAGTGGAGACCAGAGTAGCCAGATCAAGGACGTGCTGCTGGTCGATGTCGCGCCGCTCTCACTGGGCATAGAGACAGCTGGTGGAGTAATGACGAAACTGATTGAGCGCAACAGCCGCATTCCTTGCAAGCAGTCGAAGACCTTCACCACATACGCGGACAACCAGCCCGCCGTGACAATTCAGGTGTTTGAGGGCGAGCGCGCCATGACAAAGGACAACAACGTGCTGGGCACTTTCAATCTGACCGGCATTCCGCCAGCTCCGCGCGGTGTGCCAAAGGTGGAAGTTACCTTCGATTTGGACGCCAACGGCATACTCAATGTGACAGCCAAGGAGATGAGCACTGGCAATGCCAAGAACATAACCATCAAGAACGACAAGGGACGTCTCTCGCAAGCCGACATCGATCGCATGGTGAGTGAGGCCGAGCAGTATGCCGAGGAGGACGAGAAGCATCGCCAGAGGATTGCTGCTCGCAACCAGCTGGAGAGCTACATCTTTGGCGTAAAGGAGGCTGCCGAAAACGCTAAAGACAAGATTTCGCAGTCGGAGCGAAGCACCGTGCTGGACACGTGCAGCGAAGCAATCAAGTGGCTCGATGCTAATACCACAGCCGAGAAGGAGGAGTACGAATACAAACTGCAGGAACTCACAAAAGTCTGCAGTCCTGTGATGACGAAGATGCATCAGTCAGCTGGAGGCGGCGATGGTCCTCAAGCGTCCCACTGTGGTCAACAAGCTAGAGGCTGCAATGGTAGCGGTGGCCCCACCATTGAGGAGGTTGATTAAAAGTACAATGTTCCTTAATTAGTATTATTAGTTCTAAGTAAAGTTAGATCTCAGTCAATTTATTTATTTGTAAGTTTATACAATTTTATTTAATTTGAATATAATTCAATAAAAGCAATGTTATCTAATATAATATTTCGAGTTTTGAGTATTTACTTTGGTAGTCCTTCGTGCTCGGCCCAATCTAGCCAGGATCCTTCGTAGCTCTTCACATTTTTAAAGCCGAGGGCGACAGCCGCTTCTGCAGCCTTCAAGCTACGAACTCCGGCTTTGCAATGAAACACAATTTCCGTATCGGGCTGTGGCTTATCCCGTGCATATTTCGATTTGAACACCTGGTCGTTGGCCGCCAGCTCTTGGCTAACGATGCCCAATGGAATGTTGATGCTGGATGGAATTTGTCCAGTTTCTTGTAATTCCTTTGGCTCACGCACATCAATGAGCAACTTATTTGGCTCGTTCACCAATTTCTTGACTGCAGCATAATCCACAATGCCAATGGAACTGCCACTACTGTAGAGACGTTGAGTTGTTGTGGCGGTAAAAATGTTTTGTAAAATTGTTGACTTTGCAACGGCAAGTTTGTTAGGGTTTCCAATCGATAAATGGCGTAAACTACAGCTTGCAGTTCGAATCACAGTGGGAAAATATCTTACAAGTATTTTTGCCATTGTGATAATAGTTTAATAACAAATGTTATGTAAACCGTAGATGCAGTGGCAGCCTGAATCTTTGAACAGTGGTGGCAACAAAGCTGATGCTGATGTCGATGCCGGCTATCAGCTGTTTTGTTTGATGGCGCTGCCAGACTGTCGGCTTTTTAATCAGTAAGTTTGAATAAACTGTTTGAGTATTGAAAACAATTAATTTAGGCGTATTTTGAGTCCTAATTATAGTATATTTTGTTACCAGCCGCTTGCACTATCACTCATCCAATACGTGAAGAGGGTTTGCCAAGTTCACATCACATGATAAGTCAAACGCCCGAGCAAGCTCGTTGATTAAATCAATTAATCGTTCTATGAGTCTACGATCCCGGATTCAATTAAACTAACCGCACATATGAGAAAAGTTACACATACATACAATGTATGAATATTATTGGGCGACTCATATACATTTAACAGCGCTTTCACACGAACTGATAGACGAAAATTTTCAGTTTCCTTTTAAGTTAAGATATGGTGGAAAAGTTTTAGATATTTATAAAGGAAGTATGTAATGCGTAAATTAATTTTGTTTAGGGTTTATTTTGAAAACAGAGCTGATAAGCAATGAACAAAGATTAATGAAATTGTAAATTGAATTGGGCGTAAACATAATTATGTATGAAGAAATCATGCATACAAACATACATATGTATGTGAATAAATCGTCGACCGTTATCATTACTGTTTACATGGAGGTGGAACAATTAAAGGTTAAAGGCGTCTAATCAGAACTGAAAGAAGCATAGCTTCCGATTAGAATTGTTTTTCCCATGGACCGCCAACACACAGAACTGATAACAATTTGCCTGTATGTGGATGGGGATGTGGATGTCTACTGTTAGGGGCTCGGACGGGTCACGTACGTCATTAACTGACGCGTGCCAGAAGAGTCGAGTTTGGGTTGGACTAATCCAAATGTCGCATTTTGTGGTAAACAACTTGTTTCACTAGCACTCTCAAATTTTGTTTGTTGTGTGACAAATAATATTAATGTTTTAATGCAAACTTTATTAGAAAACATCGTTATACATACAGGTATGGGCTCTTAAAACTAATGAAATTGCAAATACAACTAACTAGCTATGAATATGGCGTAAAAAAGCGCAGCTATATAAATCATCAGTAACTAAATACAAATAGGTACATAATGCTTGATCTTAATGCTTACATAAAAATTTAGAACATTGTTCATAATAAAATTCAACGATTAACTGTCTTACTATGTGCTATTAGGACGTGTCTAGTAACATAGACTACTTAGGCATACAGACACATTATACAATTATGGTCTCTTTAGGATATTTGTGATAAATCATTTGCGATCTGCAATGTGTCCAATGGATTGACCTACTTTTATCTGTTGACCAGCCACAATATCGAACTTGAAGGTCTTGGGCGCTTCGAAGAGGAGCACAATGGTACTGCCCATGTTGAACTGTCCGATGAGGTCGCCCTTCGAGAACTTTTGGCCTGGCTGATCGGGCTTTTTCGCGTCTAAATGGAGTTCGTCGTATTCGTATGTGCTTGGTGGATGAGCACCCACATTGAAGCCCGTCCAGCGATTGGTTTTTAGGTCAGAATCCATATAAATCTCCACAGAGCCCACATTGGTGGCACCCACGGCTGTGTAACTAAAGAAGCCGTGCTTCCATTTGCCCATATATAGGACACGTTCATTCAGACAGAATAGACCAGGCAGCCAGTTGGCCACCTTAGGACTGACAGATAAGAGCTCGCCTGAGAAATGACGTCGCACTGTCGGTTCCCAGGCAGCCGGTGAATGAAAGCGATGATAATCTCCCGGGGCCAAGTAGATAACACATTGATACAGTTCCGTTGAGCCGTCGCGCTTCTTTTTTAAGGCCTGAGCATAGCTGATTGGCTCGTTCGATTGTTCGACCGTCTGCAGTGGTCCCAAGAAATCTTCGATGCTGTAGTTGACGCCCTTCACCTGCTCGATTAGTGAGTCTGCAGCGCTGCCAAAGTGCAGAACCTTTCCGTCAGCCGGAGAGACCAGCGGTGACTTATCATCGATGATGCGCGCGCCTTCTTTGAGTGGGCGTGTAAAAAACTCAGCCAGACTGGCGTAGTGATTGAAATCGGGATACAAAGCCTCGTCAATGTTTACATTAAACATGTTTGAGTACCAACCGTATATATAGGGGCGCAGAGTATGGGGCATGTAGCATGAGGCCAGCCAGCCCCAGCAGCGACTGATAATGCGCAATGGGAGTGAGCAGTAGATCCGCGACTGGAACTCCGAAGCGGTGCGCTGGGTACCCTTACGTTCGCATCGAAATTTGTGCAACTGCCATTCGATGGCACCGAAGACACACAAGCCCATGGGTGCCCAGCGCAATAGGAATCCTGTCCACCGTGCGAGCGCATTTCGGCGTAATTGTAGTTGCGTCTGTTGTTTGGCTTGTTGTGGCTTCGGCTTGGCAATTATCGACTCATTGGAGGCGGCATTTGCGGGCAATTGTCGAAAGTGCCGGAGCACAGGCCAGTTTCCGTTATGCAGCACTTGCTTTGGCTGCTGCTGCTCYTGTATGGCCTTTCTAATGTTTCCCGCCTTTAGCAGAAAACGACCGCGCGGCACAAAATATGAAACCATTGCTCAAGAGTCGTGCGTCTTTTCTCGTTCTTTCCGCAGCACTAACGCCTCCGCAGTCGTTACTGATTACGTATTACGTATTATCTGTCGTGCGCTACTCTCGCTTTGCTAAATGAAAATGGCCCGATTTGAGAGCAGTGTATAAATGCTTCTCTTATGTGAAATTGAATATATCGCAGTAACTATTAGTATAATTAATTGCCTGAATCTGGAAACATGTGCATATGTCTGCAGCAGCTAGAGTTTATGTCAGAAAATTCTATTCTGATCAGTTTTTAATGAGCAAGATGCGAGGGCAAAAAAAATACTTCCGTTATGTAGCACTGCCTGGCGACAACTGAAAGATGGAAACAAACGGTTTGTGCGTTGAAGATTGATATTGTGTGTGAGGGCGCCATAATGACTACGTCGCATGTGCTTTTCTCACCAAAACAAAACTCTCTTCGTGAGCGACGGCGACTGCGACTACGACTGCGACTGCGAATGTGACTTATTCAGTTGCTTATCAATTGCTTTTGACTTCGTGTTATTTGTAACAGCAACAATCGCTATTCAAGGTTCTTGGCGCGCGCCTTTGCTTCATTGGACCAATGTTTCTGGGTTACAAACAGGTTTATTTTTGTTTTTTATTTCAAGCTTTGTGCTCATTTGTTTTGGTCTGTTATGAGTTGACAATTTTCTTTTTTTTTTTTTTTGCTATCGTATATGTTACTGCGCCGCAGCTCTGTGTGCAAGAGTGGCAACTCTACAATCAGCACATCGAACAGCTGATTGACTATTTGTATTTTGCGTTTTCATGCAAAAAAAAAAAAGGAATTAAATTGTATGCATTGATTAAAGGGTATTAAGCAAAGGCAGAACCATGACTGACGCGGAAAAGCAGCCGGTCTCGTTCGCCTGCCAGCGGTGCCTGCAGCCCATAGTACTGGACGAGAATCTGGAGAAAATAAGCGTACATGCTATGGCTGAACTTTCACGTAAGACAATAATACAATAACTTGAATTAATTTTTAATTTATGTTGCTTAAATGTGCCGATCTGATTTTAGTACCTATCTATGGTGGCAATGTGAACACTATCGATCCACAAGATGCCCATAGCTTTGACCACTTTGTGCCGCCATTCAGGCTAACAGACTCTATCAATGGTACGGGTTTTACCATGGTATCTGATGGACGTGACAATAAGAAATTGAGCTCTGCATTCAAGCTTAAAGCAGAGCTGTTTGATTGCTTGTCCTCGAACTCGGAGATCGATCATCCGCTATGTGAAGAGTGTGCCGATTCAATGTTGGAGATCATGGATCGAGAGCTCCGAATTGCTGAAGAAGAATGGCATGTATACAAAACTTACCTCAACGAACTAGAACAGCAGCAAGAAGTTCCGAATGTGGATGCCCTTGATAAGGAATTACAGCAATTGAAGGAAAGTGAACAAGAGCTACTAAAGGAGCTGGCAAACCTAAAGGCCGAGGAGAAGATCTTGAATGAAGCCATTGAGCAAGAGGAATTGGTAAAGGAAAAGTTGCATGAACAGGAGGAAAGCTACTGGCGTGAATACACAAAGCATCGTCGGGAATTGATGCTCACGGAAGACGACAAGCGCAGCCTGGAGTGCCAGATAGCCTACTCCAAGCAGCAACTGGATAAACTACGGGACACGAACATTTTTAACATAACATTTCATATCTGGCATGCTGGTCATTTTGGTACAATCAACAATTTTCGACTGGGACGCCTGCCATCGGTCTCCGTGGATTGGTCAGAGATAAATGCAGCCTGGGGGCAGACGGTGTTGTTGCTGTCAGCTCTGGCGCGTAAAATTGGCCTGACCTTTGAACGCTATCGCGTCGTTCCATTTGGCAATCATTCGTATGTGGAGGTACTAGGCGACAATCGGGAGTTGCCTCTGTATGGCAGCGGAGGCTTTAAGTTTTTTTGGGATACCAAATTTGATGCTGCAATGGTGGCGTTTCTCGACTGTTTGACACAGTTCCAGCAGGAGGTGGAGAAGCGCGACACCGACTTTCTGCTGCCATACAAAATGGAAAAGGGGAAAATAATTGATTCTTCCACAGGCAATTCTTACTCCATCAAGTGAGCAAACCATATCCATTTACAGTTGACAAAATTATTTATATATTAAAATTTACAGAATCCAATTCAACTCAGAGGAACAATGGACAAAAGCTTTAAAGTTCATGCTAACGAATCTAAAGTGGGGTCTGGCTTGGGTTTCTTCCCAGTTCGTCTCGCAATGAAATTGTCGATTGTCATTATTTTAATTATGTATAATATTTAGTGCTTAATATTACAAATAAACTCTTTAACATTTAATTGACTTTTTTGTATCAGCTTCAATTTCACTGTCGTCGGTGTCTGAATCGCTGCCAGATAAATTGTCATCAATCCAAAGTGCGGCCTTTTTCTTTTTAATCGCCTTTGCAGTGGTAACTGAGTCGCCCTTTCGTTTAGTACCAATTGCACTAGTATTGGACGAACTTGGGACAGCTTTGGTTGCATCAGTGTCGCCTCCATTGGCTGTCTTGGCCTCCTCGGTCTGTTTGAGTCCCTCCTCGAATGCATCATTCACCTTTTCGGTCAACTTAGCTCTGGCTTCCTCATACTGATCGTCTTTAAACTCGTGCTTGGGCACTGCTAAAAGTTTCTCAATTTTTCGTTTCTTACGCTCCTCAGCTTCACGTTCACGTTCGCCTTTCTTTTCCAGCCATGCCCGGACACGTTTCTCTTCGTTAATATCGCGCAAGCGACGTCCACTCAAATCTCGACATGCCTCACGATTTGTAGTCTTCTCGATTTGCGCGCCAATCGCTCGCAGCATAGATCCGAAGCCTCCCTTTCCACCAACCTGACGGAGGATGCAATGAATGGTACCAATTTCATGTTGAAATCTTATGTTTTCATATAAACGTTTGCCATTGCATGTCAGATAATATTCCTCGGGCTGCAAATGCTATGAAAACTTCTGTTATTATTTGCTCAAATGCATCAATGATAGATAGTATTTACTTACTGTCGCTTCCTCAATGAGACCATTTAAATCTTTAATATTAATGTCATTTGTATTAACAGAAATTAACTGTTTACTGTTTACAAAAATATTAATCACCATTTTATAGGTTTTCTCTTCGACTGTTGTACTTCTTGGCTATTCTGCTTTGTGCTGCTACATCGGCCTTTTGAGCGTGCGTTAGAAAGAGAAAGCGGTGATGCATGAGTTTATCAATCTGCACAGAGTTGCCACACGATAAATAGTTAATTAAAATTGTTTAAAATTGGTTGAAACTTATTTGATTTATATTGTAAAGCAGGTGTGATTGTACAAAAAGTACTAAATAAAATTTTTTTTAGTTGCGTCTTCTGTTCATATTGTTTTTCAGGTTTTGATTGGCTTGCCGCCATTGAAACATAGCAATCGAACTGAGTTGGCAGCACAGACAGTCGCACACAAAGTGCTCATTTAATTAGTTCGCATTTTGGACGACGAAAGGTAAAAATTTGGCGACGCGTTCATAGAACTTTTTAACCAATATATCAAATCGAATGAAAATCAAATTTAATAAAAACCGGTAGCGGCTGATATAAGTTGACAAATGATATATGTTACCAAAGGTTTTGTGAAGTGAAAAGCGGTAAATTTACAAGCGCAGCCACGTCACTGAGTGCAATAAAATAGTGAATTTTAGAAATGAAATCAGAAATTTTGAGCTGAAAGTGATGCCAGCTACGAACAATGGGCAGTGTACACCGATGGCAGCAGCGGTGGTAGTTGTGTTAATGATAATTCTAGCTTTCTGCATCGGTTTCGGGTAGGAGGGGTAAAACAGCAAATCGAACAACGCTTAGCATAAAAGATGGCAGCAGCAAAGTGAACAAGATATGTATATACATGCATATACATACATGCGCTTGTATATTATACATACATGCATATGCATATATATATATATATATGTATAAATAATATATAACTAGATAACCATCGCGAAAATCCGAATTCGCGTTGCCTGACCGGAAAAAAAAGACGAAATGAAATGGAATAAAAAATCATACAGACTTTATATTGCAATAGGTTGCAACTTCATTTATTCAAAAGCAAAATAAGTGTCAATTCATGTGAGAAGCAACACAAAACGCAAACAAAAAGACAATCGCGACGCCTTTTAGCTTTCCGTTCGATTCGCTGCCTTTCATTTTATTTTGACTATGACTTTGAGAACTACTTCGTTTCTTGATCATGCAATCAAATTTAAATTACAATTAAAATGGCGTGGAAATTAATTTCTTCTGCATTAAAAGCGTTTTCAAATAATATAATATAAGAAATAGTACAAATGCAACCGTGTGCGTTTCTTTTTTTTTTTGTTGGCCGGTTTCGGTTTTGGCAAATTTTTCTTTCCTCCCATTTTCTCTTCCATTGTGTATTTTGTTATGGACGGTCATTCATCTCCTAGTTGATTTTGGTTCATTCTTTCTCCCTCTTTTTCTATGCGCGCGCGTGTGTGTGTGTAAGTGATTTTGTTAATGCTCAATAATTATTTTAGCTAACAAAAAAAATGTTTAAATGACCGAGAAAGTTGTATTTATTTTATTAATTTAATTCTACGTAATTCGCTAAATGCACTTGATTCCAAAAAATGTTGTATTAGATGTTAATATGAATAACTGAGCCAGTTGCGACCGTCGCTTCACACTACTTTTGTGAGAGTGTTGCGTGCGGGTGTGTGCGTGTGTGTGTATATGCGTCTGTGTGTGTCTGCAATGCTTTTGCGTTACCCGCTGCCTTTGTTTCATGTTCGCACTCGCGCTCATACAACATTATCCATATCAAATGCTCGCCTAATTCCCCATAGCAATAAGTCGATCATGTGTTGCTTGGTTCTATTGTGGATTGTGGACATTAAATCACAAAAAAAAATAAAATAAAAAAACTCCCCGGCTACAATATACAATATGAAATTCACAATTCTCTCATTCTTACCTACTGCTAATATAAACTGTTTTAACTTTATTTTATTTTTGCTTTTGTTACAGTGATTCCAGTCTTCAACTTCGAATCCAACCAATAATCGGGCGAACTTTCACTGAAGGCAGCGTTTATATAATACATACATACATACACACGTTTTTGTACCAGAAATGAGCAGAAAGTTAGTGTTGATATAAAATTCTATTTAAATCTATCAACCACAGTACTGACAGAATATATACATTTTTTCTATGACTATTTGTATAGAGCAATACTAATTAAAATTTGAATAGAAATTTAAATTTAGCTTCAGTTAGTGTACAACTCTCAAAGAGTATGTTCCACCAGACAACAAGAACGACAACAACTGGAGTCAAACAAGCTAAAGCAAGCAAGCAAGCACATCGATATATTCCAAATCACTCCATTAGCGCATAGTTAGAATATATATTAAAGAAATTTACTGACAACAACAACAGCAGAAACAACAACAGCGAAAGCAATAAACGACGAACCTCAGCATTAAGCAAAAAGATTTACTACTAATATATATCTAGATCTATATACACGGATATATAAATTAACAAAAACAGAATAGTTGTATAGTCCAGAATCGGAAGTATTCAAAATTAATTTCAACAAAAAAAAAAAAAAAAAAAAAGAGTAATAGAAATTAGTTTTCGTTGTTAGTCATTATCTGAAGTTTTAGTTGTTTGAATTGAATAATATATGTATATGTATATACATATATAAATTAATATACATTTTGTATATGATTGTAAACGTGAGTGCATTGAATTTTTATATCAAACTAAAATATTAAAAGTCGCAGGCATTAGCTGTCCTGATAAGTGTTTTTGTATTAATGTGGAGAGTAGCTGTAGAGTAGTTAATACAACATCCATTGGACACTAGCAGCAGGAGCAGCAGCAGTAGAAGCACTTCAATAGATAGAGAGACAGTTAAGTAGATACATCAGTAGCTAGCTAGCATCTGGGTGAAAATGGACGAGTCACAACCGAAAACGTTGTACGTTGGCAACCTGGACAGTTCGGTTTCGGAGGATCTGCTTATTGCACTCTTTGGCAAAATGGGACCAGTTAAAAGCTGTAAAATCATAAGGGAACCAGGCAATGATCCGTATGCCTTCATCGAATATTCCAATTACCAGGCGGCCAGCACTGCACTGACGGCCATGAACAAACGTGTGTTTCTAGACAAAGAGATCAAGGTTCGTATTCATTCTATAATCTATAACGTAAAGATATAAATTTATATGCTACTCATAGGTCAACTGGGCCACTAGTCCGGGCAACACGCCCAAGACAGACATCAGCTCGCACCATCATATATTTGTTGGTGATCTCAGTCCAGAGATTGAGACAGAGACGCTGCGCGAGGCTTTCGCGCCATTTGGCGAGATATCAAACTGTCGCATTGTGCGCGACCCACAGACCATGAAGTCCAAGGGCTATGCCTTCGTATCGTTTGTAAAGAAGGCCGAAGCCGAGAATGCAATTCAGTCAATGAATGGCCAATGGATCGGTTCACGTAATATACGCACGAATTGGTCAACACGCAAATTGCCACCGCCACGGGAATCGTCCAAGTCAGGTGGCCAAGGTGGCGGCATGGGTGGAATGGGTGGCGGCGGCGGCGCTGGTAATGGCATTAAGAACAACCAACGACACACCTTCGAGGAGGTCTACAATCAGTCAAGTCCCACAAACACCACCGTTTACTGTGGCGGCTTCCCGCCAAATGTTATCAGCGATGAGCTGATGCATAAGCACTTCATGCAATTTGGCCCCATACAGGATGTCCGTGTTTTCAAAGACAAGGGATTCGCGTTCATCAAGTTCGTTACAAAAGAGGCGGCGGCACGCGCCATCGAGCATACGCACAACAGCGAGGTGCACGGCAATCATGTCAAGTGTTTCTGGGGCAAGGAAAATGGTGGCGATAACTCGGCCAACAATGTTAACGCAGCCGTTGCGGCGGCTGCCTCTGCCAATGTGGCCGCCGTGGCGGCAGCAAATGCGGCCGCCGCCGCAGGTGCAGCTGGCATGCAAGGCCAAATGATGACACAGCAACAGATTGCCGCAGCCACTGGGACAGCGTTACCCGGCCAAATGATGACGCCCCAACAGATAGCAGCCGCTGCAGCGGCGGCGCAGGCACAGTACCCTTATGCGGCAGCATACCAACAAATGGGCTACTGGTACCCACCGGCGGTAAGTGACAATGGCAATGCAAACAAGAAGTTAGTTACTTAACTTCGCTCCCCCACTTATATATATCTTATAGCAGAGCTACCCGGCCCAGATGCAAACGCAGTACATGCAGCAGGGTTATTATCCTTATGCCTACACTACCAGTGCTCAACAGGCAGGAGCTGTACGTACGTATCGAACCAACAAGAGAATTACATACATATTTCATGTATTATATATATGATTTATAATATGTTGTGCGTTGTCCTTTCCAGCTGCCGGGTACCGTGTGATGCCGCCAAATATGGCATGGGGTGTGCCTGGCGCCACTGTGGTGCCAGGAGTGAGTGCCGCTGCTAGTGCGGCTGCTGCCGCGAACGGTTCGCTTGCCCCACAAATGATGTACAGCGCTGCGATGCCACAATATCAAACCCAATGAGCAGAGACATGACGCCTGCTTCGACGCCGTCTGCAATATTCGGGCAGCCAGCAGCGACCGCATCCACATCAACGTCCGCAAAATTTACAACAACAGGCCAATATCGTGTTCGAGTCTGAAACTATTAGTACTGATGMCAACAACAACAATAACGACACAAGCAGCAGCAACATCACCACAATGACCACAATGACCGGGAATTAAAATCTGTTATCGAGGAGACGCTTGACATTTACCCTAATGTTTCAATTCCTATCGTTTCTACAGCTAAGCTAGCTACACACTGCATTATGCTCAGTTTACGTTCGCATAGTGAGCTGCATTACGTTAAGTTAAAAGCAGAAGCGTTTCGAAAATTAACATTGCAATTTGTGTCATCATTCGCCGTATGTTCTGCAGATGTTTGTGTGTGCGAGCTGGTCGAAGCAAAGCGTTGAACTAAAAGTTGAATCGCGCGCAGCGKCAGCGGCAGCGCTCTGAAGCTCTGGGCGACGGGCGGGTAGCTGTAACAATCTAATCCAATCTAAGTACATGTTAAAATAATTTAATGATTTGTAATTTAAGTCAGATATAGGCGTATACAAGAAAAGGAAACAAAAACAAAACAACAACAAAATGCAAAACAAAAACAAAAAAATAAAGTTTAAACATCTACAATTGAATAAAATAAAAAAAGCAAAAAATCAATCGAAAGTGACAAAGCAAATGTAATTGTTGTGAAAATTTGTAATTCAAAGCGTTGAATATTATGTCAACAGCTAATGATAAGAAATTCAAATTAAAACAACAGGCCGAAAATAAATGCATAAACAAATTTAGTTTTTAAGTGATTGTAAATGCGAAAATATTTCATAATTACAATGTGTGAATTATGTATGTAAAATGTAAAATAAAGAAACAAAAAAATATATAAAACCGGCAAAGAACTAATTTCAAAATTGGCCTGCATATTTTTGAAGCAAATTCAATGGCGAGAATTTCATTCATTTTCAAATTTAAACAGCGGAGTTAACAGTTTTTTGTTGTTGTCAAATAAGCAAATACAAAAGATCGTTCTCCTTATATATGAATGATTTTTAATGGCTTCTTGAGTGACTCGTGTTTGCAAGTTCCTCCTGTAATTGTGACGGCTTTCCTTAGAGCCTTGACTCAAATTTGTTATTCTCGAACTAGGTAAGTGTTTTTTTTTAATTTTTTCATTTCAGCTAAATGAGGGATCTTTAAAATGAGAGCCTAATGATATTACTACGAAAAAGCACTGCCAGTTGAACAATAAAATAATAAACTATGGCTGTGGTAGTTGCTAATTACTAATTTTTATAAAATATCATTACAGAATCGATCTCAAAGGCTAGTATTTAAAATGTATATGTTGAATAAAAAAAAAAACTATAAGTATATTTAGCATCTAAGTTAATAATTTATATAAATTCTAATGTAATTTTTTGTATAGGTATTAAAGATTACACATCAAAAGTATTTAATCATCATAGCAATAAAACAACTGAAGGAAATAAACCAACCCATGACATTTTAGTATTTTAATTGGAAAAATTATTGTTTCTTTTCGTAGTCCGGTCACACTGCTTGTCATCGCGCGTTAGTTTTTTAATTTCTCACTAGCGTCGGCATCACCTTGGCTCCGCGAACATCGTCTACAATTTTAAAGGTTTAATATTTGAGAACTTTTATCTGTGTTACATAAAGCAAAAGGTTTGTTTTATTTTCTTCATATAACTAAATATACGTATCTACATTTATCTGAGTAAAAACAGAAGTGTAGCTGCCATATTTGTGTTTTGTGTTGCGGTAGGATTCGAGTCTGCAATAGACACAATATGCACGGTTGCCGGGCTTGATTTGTTCAGTGAAATTTGCTGAAAATGTGAAATACAAAAACTAGTAATCAAAAATTGCAGCAAATATAATAGTTATTAATATATGTACATATGTATATGTCCCGTGCATATGCACATAACATATATATGTGTGTATGTATGTGTATGTATTATTTTTTATCATTCGCTGCAGCTTCCGCCATTTTTAAAACAAACCCCGTCAATTGAGCCTGTATAGTACAGTGGTGGCAAAACATTAAGCTAACGGCAGTTTATTAAACATATTAGCAGTTTTCAGAAATATCGGACTCAAATTCATAACTTATCTATATACATATAAGAAATATATATTAAAATTATCGTTTGAGTGATTCACCCCGATTTTATGTAAGCTGGAACAGAAAGTGGCTAATATTTGGTCGCGTACTGTAACCCGCCTTTTTAGTTTGTGTGTGTGTATATGCGTGATTGCAGTAGTATGTGTGTCTTTGTTGCAAGTTCGACATTCAATACCCAAGCAGTTAAACTATATAAACATAGCACATATTTTACCACATGCAATGTCCAATGAACGTAAACAAATATATATTCGTTTTCAAAATAAAAATGAAATGTATACTCAAACTTACATTCATACATAGACACCCTATGTTTATGCTCATTTTGATGCATACTTTGCTTTGTACGTTGCTCGTCGTTGAGTTTATTAAACTCGGCTACACTAAACAAAAACAAAAAGAAGAATTACAATGATGGCGCGAGGGCTTGTCGCATAATTTCATACATACATACATATGTATGTATGCACGCATGTACAGATGTGCGCTTGACGTTTCTGTGTATGTGTTTGTGTTTTGATTGTCGTCAGACTTTGCATTTCGCTTGCTGCACTGTATGCCTGTATGTTCGTATATATGTATGTGTGTGCTTTTATTTTTTTTCTGTCTGCCTCTATGTGCATTTATTTTTCGCGTTGTTGCCTTTTGCACTTTCTAAAAGAAAAGTGCAACATACTTTATGTTTATTGCCTTTGCCAAACAACTATCCCTGACTCTTTCTTCCTCTTGTTGCATTAAACTTGTTTGTACTCTTTGCTTATTTTTTCATTGCTTGAGGCATCGCAGAGTTGTGTGCAATACGCATCGTACGGGAAATTTTCTATTAGGTATTTTCTGCATTCTTATTCCTCGTTAGTCTTTTTTTTTTACATGCATTTTTCGCCCTCTTACCGGTTGTTGCGCTTACATATGTATGTATGTCTGTGTTTACAATGCTTGCAGGCTTTTTATGTAGCACTACAGTAGGTACTCGTTAAGTTAAATTTAATATTTATAATAAAAATAAGCTTTGTTTATTTTTATGCAATATTAAAGATAATCATCAACTCCTCTTTAGTTGGTGGTTCTCTACATCGATTGTCGACTGTATGCTTGTCAGCTATTTTTTGGTGTCGCTTTTAACTGCATATTTACCGGAAGCCAATAAAGAATTTGTGTGGGGGTAAGAGTTATTAAAGTGGAACGATGTCTCTTGTTAGGGCACCATCCCAATGATTGTTTCGAATAACAGTTACTCGACTGTAACGATGTAATTATATGTATATATGTTTTGCTAGGATTTTGGCAATCCCTGTATCCTATTTACAATATTGCCACGCACAGATGTTGGCCATAAAATTATTTACATACCTAGCAGATGCCAGCTTGCAGGTAACCCTGCTGCTATTGCCCTTGCTTCAGCTGTCACTTTCGATAAATCCTTGTCTACCTGCATATCGTTTTCTCGCCTACTTAAACGCTTTGCAACTTTTTTTGCTACGCATTCTAAATTGTCAAGTTGAAACTGTCAACACGTTTGCGAAAAAAAAAAAAAAAAAAAAATTACACAAACGCCTAGCGTCTGAAAGCTAATGTGAAAATCTCTATTGAGAAATACGAAGCTGCAACTGTGATTGAAAATTGCAAAGCAAAATACAAATAAAAGAGTAATAAATATTAATAGGAAAACAATTCTCATAACTGTGGTAAGTGGGATATAAGCTAGCGCAAAGCCGGTTCTGGTCAGGAATGTTAAATACCCTTGTTGGGCGCGATGTAGACAACTCTTCGCCTTTTGTACATTTTTAAGCGATGGAGCGTGTTTCGACAGCAATGCGCTTGAATTACCAGGGGAAAGCAAATCCAGGAAGGCATAATTCGAAATCAATTCGAGACTGAATTCCGTCTAGAAAACAAACATCATTGTGTGTTTTGGAACAATTAGTTTTTTAAGAGTATATTTATTTTATTTATTTTTTTGTAGAATACAGTTTACTTATGCATATTTCATTTTCTTTCGTTTTTCAGAATTAATTATCGTGCAACACGAATACACTAAACGACGATCTAATGCTCAGCAAGATGGCACAACCGAATACTGCTGGAGGCGGGGGTGGTGGCGGCGGCCCTGCTGCAACCGGAAGGCGGATGCCGATGTCTTTGACCGGATCAGGCGCTAGTGGCACCACAGTGTCCCGTCTACAGCAGCAAGCAGCCGCTAGCAATGGACGCTCGAAAAGTCCACAGAATAGTAATGCGACCAAGAAATCTGAATCGAATGTCATGTCTGGTCCATTTGTAGCTATCAAGAAGACGAGTGGTATACCGCAGCGATCGAGCAGTAATTCATCTATTGCTTCGACATCATCATCGTCTTCTATGTCGTCCTCTTCCACGAGGAGCGAGAAGAGCCAAAGTAGCACTTCCAAATCCATAAATGGCAGTCAAAAGTCGACACACAACGGCAGCTCAAGCGTTACCTCTGTAAAGGAGCAACAGAAAATCAAGGAGAAAGTGTCTGAGAAAAAGGATTCGGCCCCAGCGGAGGCTAAAGACGAAACAAATGATATCAAAAGCAATGCAAAGCCAATAACAGCAACGCCAGATGCCGGCCCTAAATTTGTTGAAGCTGTTACTGACGCAATGATTGATATGGAAACCGATTGTCTAATCACTGAAGTGTTTAACACTCCGACTGCAGAGCGCAAGTCATCGCGCAGGTTGGCCGGGTCTTCTAGCAGCCTGGATAAGTCTCCCATAAAGCCAAAGGAGAGTCCGTCACCAGTTTCGAAAAAGCAGGCGGAAAAGTCTAAGGACAAATCAGAAGTAGCGGAAAAGGCACAAGAACATTTGGAAGTTGCGGAAAGCGCTAAAGAACAACCCGAAGCAGCGGAAAAAGATAAGGAGCAATCGAAAGAGGCGGAAAAGGCGAAGGAAAAATTGGAAGTGGCAGAAGATGTTGAAATGGAGACGCTCACAGTGGATGCGTCGCCTGTACGGGCTGTGGCTAGTGTACAGCCCACAGCCACTTCTACGCCTGGACGCAATCTCTTTGGTTTTCGTAGCAGCAGCAAACAGTCCACCGAAGTGGAACTGGCCACACAGTCGTCCAGCTCTCCAGCAATTACACCTGCACGTAGCTTTACGCAGATAAGCGGCCGGCGCAGCATTCGCCCAACGGCTTCTCTAACGCCCGGCAAACTGGGCACCTATAGATGCGTCAACACTGACCTGGACACTTCCAACTGCACCAACACGAGCATGAATGCAACCGTGGGCTCCGAGATACCCAATAGCTCTTCGTTCTCATTCTCGTTCTTTGGACGTGGACGCAAACGTGAACGCACGCCGCCGCCTCTATCCGCCAGCCAATCGGCAACCGATGTCGCCCAGGATGTGGATATGTCGCCGCCTAAACGCGCACGGTTCGATCTCTTCAGCCTGAACTTGGCATCACCATTTACCATGCTGCGGTCACGATTCTCGAAAACTACAATTAGCACACCGTCTTCGCGCCAACGCCACGAACAGACACCGCCAGATGACGATGAGGAGGGCAGTGAGGTGCAGAACGTGTCGGGTATTATCAACCAAGAGGAGGAAGAAGAGCAGCTCAACAAATCGGCAGCCAGCAATGAAGTCAGCGTGGCTCAAGAAGCTGGATCGGAAACTCCGAAGAAGAGCGGAAACAGTGTAGAAGAAGAAGAGGATACAATAAAGGATGAGCAGAAGGTGGAAGATCAAGGCGAGGATGCCGTGGCCAATCTGCCCGCTACTGATGAAAGCGTTCCCATTGAACGCGAGGCTTCCAATACTTCGCGCTGCGCAATAATGTAAACGACTCCCATGCAAAATGCTGTAATCAATCGAAATACCTTCCCACGTCACCATTAGTAGCTTTAGGAATTCCCGATAAATGTCATTCAATGTTCTGTTCTGTCTGTTCTGTTTGACCTCTTTGGTAATTTGTACTCTTGCAAAATTACATTGTAAGAGTGTGGATCTAAATTGGGCTAAGCCAAATCCATATCCAAGCACTGGCTACAATTCTCGAGAGTTGTTAGCCATATGCCATGCACATGGATGGCCCATTTATTAATGATTTCTCGCTACATAGCTGTGTCCCTGCCTCCCATGTGGCGTTCAGAACTCAGCTATATACCGACAAATCTTTCATTTTACCAACTAAATCATTTTGAGTACCCCTGAGACATTAGGTACAAAACACATAACATTATAAACAACATAATCATTTATCATACATAGGACATATGTAGCCTATAAGATGTGCAAGTTTTATAAAATTTGTGTACTCAATTCAATATTTTGTCACCACAATTTGTATTAGTGCTGTAATAACACATGTAATAAAATAATCGATTTTTTACAAATATAAATCATTTTACACAATAATCTACTTTGTTCTTTTTGCAATGAAAGGCATTTTGCTGAATTATTTACATATTCATTACTACATAAGTGTGTGTAGTCAATGTAATACTACTTCCTTAGTTATTATAGGTTAGAATGTTTGTATTTAATTTCATTTAAAATCATTTTAATGTTATGTACCAGTATTACATCTGAAGAAAATTTTTTAATTTTTCGGAGCTATCGTATATGCGCGGCATTCCGAAATCAGTTTCATTGCATTGAAACTAATTGAAGCAATCAATAAATAATCGATAAATTTAGGGCTGAAACTGATTGCTTTTTACCGTAGCTCAGACTACCATGGATCGTTTATTTTGTATATTCAATAGTAAATTAAATCTCAATTAAATCGCATTTCAAATTTGAAAGTAATATATCCGTAGCGATTTTCTTAAAGGGATGATCCAGTCTAAATTAACCAGATACACTAGTGTCAGGTATTAAGAATTGCATACCATCCTCAAATTCGAATAGCAACGTGCACGACCAGGGCTGCCAACTTGTTTTTCAAGGGACAGCCCTGTAAATAAATAACTTCGTAACACTGGGACTAGTAAAACATATCGACGCGCTGTTTAAATTGTTGCTTTAAAATCTTTCCACTAACAATTAATGTTTTGCAATTTAAATTAATGGTTATAAATTATTTGATAAACATACATTTCGCTAACATGCACGCAAGAACGCAGTATTAACGATTCGGGTCAAAAATATTTTACGCGCGCGAAAAGAATACAGCGAAGCAAATAAAACTGAAGATAATCAAGGACTAGAGGATAACATGGAACACGCTGATTTGGCGATATCGCAAAACGATCTGCATATTGACTATAAAACGCCAAAGAAAACAAGCCTGCTAATCGAGAATGAGGAGTTGCTGGAGAAAATTAATATATTAACAACAAAACCAGAAAATCACTCGTACAATGCAAAGGCAAGTGAAAATGTACAGTTATGATTAGACTCCCACTACATGGAAGTTCCGTTACTTGACATACACACACATTAACAGAAATTATGTTTGATGTAGTAGCCCACTGTATATTATTATTATTATTTTTTTATTATTGCAGCTGCCCACAATTAAGGATTTCTTCATTATCAAGCCCATTAGCCGAGGCGCCTTTGGCAAGGTATTCCTGGGCTACAAACACAACGACCCAAACAAACTGTTTGCCATCAAAGTGATGCGCAAATCGGAGATGATTAACAAAAATATGGTTTCTCAGGTGATAACAGAACGCAACGCTTTGGCACTGTCTCGTTCGCCATTCTGTGTGAATCTGTTCTATTCGCTGCAATCCGTGTCTTCCGTTTACCTGGTCATGGAGTATATGGTCGGTGGTGACCTGAAATCACTGTTGGCCATGTATGGCTACTTTGACGAGCCGACAGCGCGCTTTTACGTGGCCGAAATGGTCATGGCATTGCAGTACCTGCACCAGCACGGCATCGTCCACCGCGACATCAAGCCGGATAACATGCTGCTCTCGGCGAGTGGACATGTGAAATTGACGGACTTCGGCTTGAGCAAAATTGAATTGCGTCGCGACCTGGAGATATCCGATCTGATCAATTGCTCACCCAATCTCAATGCACGTACGCCGGGCCAGCTACTGTCGCTCACATCGCATTTGTCTTTTGGCTCGGAGAAGAAGTTGCAGGAATTCGGTGCTATAAGCGGTGCTCCTATGGTTGTCACCGGCACGGGCACTTCAAATCTCATGCAAGCCATTAATAAGCATAGTCATGTCATGGAGTCTTCAGATAGCGAGGCGGACACGTCCCTCACAGATGGCGAAAAAACGAGCGATAGCAAAATCTCTGGGGTTTCGCCATTCTTTTCCGCCGAAGAGGTCAACGTGTCCGTTCAGCACACCTGCACCACAAACACCAACGTAAGTAACGAAACGTTGTGGTGAGACGCCGACTTATGTCCTTCGAATTACAGTTTTTGGACAGCAGTGCATCCTCCTATCACACCTGCACCTCGGCAGAGATTAGCAAAATCTCGCCGCCTCTGGAAGCAACAGCCGCGGGCGGGGCTCCGGCAAATACAAAGCGGCGCGTAGAATTCCTCTTGGACAGCATTACTAAAGATGGCAGCGGCAGCGACAGCGGGCGAGATCGAGTCAATTGCCAGGTGAGTCTCGAACAGTAGGCGTATCCAGCCTGAGTACCTGATAAAAATATGCATATTGCTTCATTCCCTCAAAAGGGCTGCAAAATGGCCGAACAGGACAAAATCCACATTGTCGCTAGCGGCGATGATAAAGACGCTGCCAAGTTGGAAAATACAAATGAAGGCTCGTTTGAGTTTTCCATGGTACGCAGGCGTTCGCTCGATGAGGTGCGTTGCATGTTGTATCCTGTGCCTAAGTGTCGTCATCTGTCCTTCCCAGTCTTTCCTTTGTGTGTGTTATTGGCTTAGTTTGGGTTTCCAGATGGTAGTTAAGATAGAGAAGAGTCAGTCAATATTTTGTGATATATATATGCCTATATCAATTGATTTGTGTCTTTTGAAGGGTTACGATTTATATATTTATTATATGTAAAAGCTTTCTTAATACATTGCGGAACCGGGTTTCTGTTATTTGTGTCTTACCATCAACAAATTTCACTTCTATACAACAAATGAGTTGCTATAAATTGAATTTCCTTGTGTATTGTCCATCTAACTCCTATTAGTGCTTAACCTAACTGTTTCGTGTTTTGTTTCAACCAGCGCAACCGGAACTCGAAGTTACAAGAGGATTCTGGCGTATCTAGTCGAAAGGGTGACGATAACTCGAGTTGTCATCTAAATTTAAACAGCGAGAGTACCGCATCCTCCATAGAAAAGAACACAGATAATCTGAGTCAGTCGAAGGACGAATACAGCTGTTCGGACTACTCACGCAGGTTGATATTGTCGAGCAAAGCAATCGAATGAATCCCCATTAAAGTGTTTTCAATTGCAGTTACAATATGACAAATAATGCCAACGAGCTAAGTGGCATTCGCATGAATTCGCCATTCCGCAATCTCTCGAAACATTTCAAGCGACCTGAGTTTCTGCGCGGCATGAAACGCAAAATAAATCTGGTCAATCGCTCGGAAAACAATTCATGCATGGATGTGGATGCATCTAGCAGTGCGAGTACCAGCACTGGCTTGACCCAAGAAATCGAGATACTCAACATTGGGAGCAGCACGCCCAAGAAGCGCAAGGCACGCTCCTCACCCATACGGGGCGTACTGAAAGTGCGGTCTCTATCGGATGATGAGTTGCCCATGCAACATCTACTGGGATCTGAGGCTAATGTGGCCAATGTGGTCTTCTCGACGCCTGTGTCCTCACAGAAGCTGCCACGTCGTGATGGTGGCCTGCTGGGCAAGCTAAAGGCAACTCGCTTCGCCCTGCCCTTGTCCATTGAAAATAAAAAGCGTGAGCACATGGCCGTGGAAAAACTCTCCAGTGTTCAGTACCATCTAAAGTTGGCCGACGAACCAACTATGTCGCCCATCAATCATGGCGGCGTCACTGTGCCCAAGACGCCAAAGAACACAATTAACGTAAACACACCATTTCGTACGCCAAAATCTGTACGACGTGGAATGCGGGTCTCGAACGAACGCATCCTTGGCACACCTGACTATTTGGCGCCAGAGCTGCTGCTGAAGCAAGGTCATGGACCAGCTGTCGACTGGTGGGCCCTGGGTGTGTGCTTCTACGAATTCATGACTGGCATTCCGCCCTTCAACGATGAAACGCCTCAGAAAGTTTTTGACAACATTCTCAATAAGAGTAAGTAATGCTGTATGCGATCTAGATGCTATTCTAAATGTTACCCCTCTACAGACATTGAATGGCCTGAAGGGGATGAGGCTTTATCGGCTGATGCCATGGAGGCTGTGGAGCTAATGTTGACCATGGAGCCCGCGGAGCGCCCAGCTGCCAGAGAGGTACAGCAGATGCGTATTTTTGTTGGCATCGACTGGGAGAACATTGGGCACATGGAGCCACCGTTTGTGCCTACGCCGGACAATCCAACCGATACCGGATACTTCGACGCACGCAATAATATGCAGCACCTGCAATTATCCAACTTTGCGATGGATGATTAGAGAATAGTTAACCCGTACGTCTAGTTCTTTAAGCTAAGTGTTATTTATATAGATTGTGTAGCAATTTGTATTTGCCAGTTTTATTTTTATACATATATATATTTTGATTGTTATCTTCGTTAGATCAATATTTATGCCCATCCTAGTTTATCTTAATTGTATTCCATTTTTATTATACCTTCGAAATATCAGCACTTCGTTGTAAACTATCATGTATAACGCTCGATTTCGATTTCAATTTTGTTACTGTAACTAAGCTTAAACAAATAGCTTCAAGTAGGCACGCTAGTAACTGGTTAAACAATTTTTGTCTCCAAGATGTAAGCATTAAAGTTAAACACACATATAATTGAATTCACGTTGCTTGCAGTTTCCAATATATGTAGCAAAAAAGAAAATGATCACTTTATTCACTTCTGTTATGGTATATATGTATATATATGTATGTATATGTCTAAATCTAGATTTCGTAGAAAAATAACACAATAACACAATTGGCTGCCACAAGTATAACTATGTTGCTTTTAGCTTGTAGTCGCAATCCCACACCTCCGGAATGGTCGTTAGATAGCTCTCCTCGTAAAACACATCGATTAAGCGACATATCAAATGGGGAACCGAGCGCAGATCGGGCATAGGTTGCTCTTTCAGAATGCTTATGGCCCTGACAATCTGCGGCTTAAC